GGACTCTGATGTAACATCCAGAATTGGGATTAACACAGATGTGCTAAGATGTCTGCTTTATTAAATTGGAACTTTAAGGATCGTTTTGACTTGGACTCTGATTTAATTCTACAAGATACTTGGAACGCTGACATGTATATTATTATGGAAATTTTCCTCCATTTCATCGTCTTAAAAAGCAGTTATCAATTTTGCAAAGAAGCATGATTTTATCCTTTACATATAATATGGCATTATTGTGATTTGTCAAAAACCTGCACAAACATTCAGTTCAGTCCAACTGAGTGGTGGTGAAAAGAAAAGATTAAAGATGTAGTTACTTTCCAAGGAACAGTTTATTATGGGCAGAGGTGGGTTGCTCCCGGTTTGGCCTGGTTCAGCCGAACCGGTAGTGGCGGTGGTGGGAGGCTCCACCCACCTGCCCGTACACGTTTTAAGATGAAAGCCATATCTGGCGGAAACGAAGAATAAATCTACATTTTATAAACACGTTTTAGATAATAGCAGAGTTCCTAGGTAGCACTGAGTTTGCCAGAGTGCAAAATGTGCACACCCACTTGAAGAGAAATATGGAGACCAGTTATGAGCGTCACAGAAATATGAGATCTGAGCCACCTTCCAACAAGTAAAATTTGAAATAGGACATTATGCTCCAAAAGTATGAAATGACAGGCTAAAGGAAGGCATTGAACTCTTCCTCACTTACGTTTCTCACTCTGTTAAGGACCTAGGAGTACTCATCTCAAATGATCTACGGTAAGTGCCAAAGCTCACTGCAACAGCATTGCCAAAAAAGGCATTAAGAGTTGTCAATCTAATCTTGCGTAGCTTCTTCTCTGGTAATATTGTACTGCAAACTAGAGCATACAAAACCTTTGCTAGACCAATTCTCAAACACACTCATCTGCCTGGAATCCACACTATATATCGGACATTAATACAATTGAGAGAGTCCAGAGCAGGGGTGGGTTTCAACCGGTTTGCGGCGGTCCCTGCGAACCGGTTGGTCGGCGAACCCGGAAGTAAGTAACTTCCGGGAACGGCGAAGGGCCCACTCGCCCGCCCGCGCTCCTTACCCAGTTTTGACGAGTTCTGCGC